TACTGCTTGATTCAGTTTCTTATTTGTAGGAATAATAATAAGTTCATTTTTTTGAGGCTAATTGATTTGGCTATCGACATGTACCGAAAAGCTATTGAGTTGCAGCCGAATTTCCCTGATGCATACTGCAATTTAGCGAATGCTTTAAAAGAAAAAGGATTAGTGTCAGAGGCGGAAGCTGCATATAATAAAGCTCTACAGGTATAGATTTTTAACTTTGGAACAGATCTTTTTTTACATCAGTTCCACTAGATATGCTTTTTAAAATTGCGCATCACTAGCTTTATGAAATTGAGCTAATTAGGAAAAATTTTTTTTTAGCTTTGTCCAACGCATGCTGATTCTCAAAATAATTTGGCGAACATCAAAAGGGAGCAAGGAAAAATTGAAGATGCTACTCGTCTGTATTTAAAAGCTTTAGAAGTAAATATTTTACTGCGTGCATGCTCATTATTTCTGATTTCAAACATTCAGGAACATTGTTGATTATTTTGTAGTGATATTTTATAATTGTTTATTTGGGTCTTGCAGTTATCCATTACTCTAAGTTCAAGACAAAACAATTTAGAAACCTTAACTTTTCAACATAAATTTCTTAATGCTGTAGTTTTTTGTTTGCTTTTTGATTGTCACAGTAGTTCTCATGTAACTTGATACTGTTTACAGAAAACAAACTTTTCAGATTTATCCCGAGTTTGCAGCTGCCCACAGTAACCTTGCTTCAATTTTGCAACAGCAAGGCAAGCTTCAGGATGCGATTAATCATTACAAGGAAGCAATTCGTATAGCGCCCACGTTTGCAGATGCATATTCTAATATGGGTAATACACTAAAAGAAATGGGCGATGTTAGTGGAGCGCTACAGTGTTATACTCGAGCTATTCAAATCAATCCTGGCTTTGCTGATGCTCATAGTAATTTGGCTAGCATACATAAGGTTCGTCTTTGCTTCAAGTTTTTAGCAGTTTTCATTGATATCTTTCTATTCGTTGCTTAATAATCCAAAATTTTTTTGTCTCGGAACATTTTTAATTTGCTTTTAGGATTCTGGAAATATTCCTGAAGCAATTCAGAGCTATTCGACAGCACTCAAGTTAAAGCCTGATTTCCCGGATGCATTTTGTAACTTAGCTCATTGCTTGCAGGTGAAGATTTTTTTTTAATTTTTTTCCTAGGAACACTCGAACCAGAATTTTTCATGAAATTAATAGTGGATTTTCTATTAGCGAACAGTAAAACGTTAGGCAACGCAATATATTAGATCTGAATGGGACTTTACTTTATTCCAAGTTCACTAACATTTATGGTCAAGTTACGAGATTTTTGGTTTATAAAAATCTAATTGATTACTTGAAAACTGATATTTCATTGCATTTTCGTCTTAAAAATTTTCCCGTAATTAGGTAGTTCTGTTTAAACTGAGCTTTAATGATTTTAGATTATTTGTGATTGGACGGATTATGACAGTCGCATGAAGAAACTTGTTGCAATTGTTGATGACCAGCTTCAGAAAAAACGATTACCATCGGTTCACCCTCATCACTCTATGCTCTATCCTCTGACACATGCTACTCGAATGGCTATTGCTGCAAAACATGCACAACTTTGCATAGAAAAGGTGAAAACAATCATCTTGTTATCAACGTTTGCAGTCATCTTATTATCACGAATGTGTTCCTACAATTAATAAGTGCTATTAATTTGATCACAAAGCATGAAAATCTAAATATGTTTACACAACATAAATTGATTATGGTCCTCTTAGTGTTGAGCAACAGTTTGTTATTCCATCCATGTTTTTGAAAAATGAGCCCAGAAAATAAATGAATTTTGGACAAAAAGTTGTTTTATGAGCTTGATATTAGGTACTCATGAAGAAGGTGTCCAGTTAGGAGCTGCATTTTTTTGTTGTTTTGCCTATATAGTTGAGAGTTGGTCTCAATTTCAGTAATTATAATATTTTGTAAGAAGTTGGTCGTGTTTATTGGTACAGCCGAAACGCTGGGTTTCTGTTTATCATTTATACATATATTTCAGATTCAAGTATGTCATAAATCACCATACAATTATCCGGATCGGAGCAGTGTTCGTAAGGCACAACGTTTGCGAATCGGGTACGTATCGTCAGATTTCGGTAACCATCCCACAAGTCATTTAATGCAGTCGATTCCGGGAATGCATAATCGTGATAATGTTGAGGTGAGTGCTATGTAGTAAAAGATTATAATATTTTGTAAGAAGTTGGTTTATAATATTTTGTAAGAAGTAAGGAAATCAATAAAAGATAGAGGTTGTAGGGTTGATTTTATCACTCATTACTGCTGTTTCATTCAACTTTACTTTCAGTAGATTACAAAATGAAATAATTTATTTCTTAGCAACAAAGTTCCTTAAAATTTAAGAAGCATTTCTTTCTTCATAATTTTAAGGTCTTTTGTTATGCGCTTTCTCCAAATGATGGTACGAATTTCCGGCAGAAGTTGATGAATGAATCAGAACACTTTATTGATTTATCGCAGGTATTGTTTTTAAATATATGCTAATCAGTATCGTTTTAGATAGCTTGAGACATATAATGGAGTTTTTGAGTGTTTCATATCGGTTTCTTTCATTTTAATGCTTACTTGTTTATGAATCTTGTTCTCATGATTCTCTTGCTTAATTACTTGTCTCGATCTATTTTAATTTGAAAATATTAATATTTAAGATTACATGCAATGGAAAAGCAGCAGATCGTATTCATGATGATGGGATTCATATTTTGATAAATATGAATGGTTATACAAAAGGTGCTCGCAATGAAATATTTGCTCTACGCCCCGCACCTATTCAGGTACATTGATTATTGCTAGGCATTCTTTGAGTCGTATGAAGTTTTATTTATGAGATTGTAAAATACCATCCTTTTATTCATTCCTAGAGATTATTCTGTAGAAGTGATGAACTTCGCTTTTAGGTCATGTGGCTCGGTTACCCTAGCACTTCTGGTGCTCCATTCATGGATTACATAATTACTGACTCTGTGACATCACCATTGGAACTCGCACATGCTTACAGTGAGAAATTAGCTTACATGCCGCACACTTTTTTTATTGGAGACCATGCACAGATGTTGAAGCATCTTACTGAGCGGGTAATTGTGAAGGTATAATTTTCAATTTTTTGGGCCTTTCTTGATACGCCGTATTCAATTGTAAGCTCGTTACTTTTTTTAAAGATGAGTTTGTTGATTATTTCATAAATATAGAAATTGTAGGAGAAGAATGATCCAACTCCAATTGACAAAGAGACTGTCACTGTTGTCAATTCAGTAAATTTGGAGCCACTCTTGTCGAAAGCTGAGGTCAAGGTAATGAATTCATTTTATAAATATTAGTTTTATATGAAATTGGAAGTTGATCTGAAACAGATAGTAGATCTTTTTTCTTTTTTGATTCTCTCGTTTATTTTCATTCGCCTGCAGTTAATGAGTTCCAGCCTTTTGTTCGAGAAGCTGAAGTGGCTCATGGCCCAGAGCGTGACATGATTAAAACAGAAGTTGTTCTTCCTGTCATCGAAGTGCCAACAACGGAACCGCTAAAGCAAATGATTGGATCTGGCTTAATTGCTGGTAATGTCGAGGGCGTTCCCGTACAGAATGGTCTTACTACCTTAAATCAGGTGTGTACATGTTTTTGAAGGTGCTTTAAATAACTCAAATGCGCGCTAAATGTACCAAGTCCTAATTCATATGTATGAGATATCATTCTCTGTCTTTTCATAATTTTTATTCAGATATCATTCTCTGTCTTTTCATAATTTTTATTCATGTAATTTACTAGGTATCCTGCTTTTTTTTTGCATACTGTGGCTCGTTCAATATTACTGAAATTAAAAACTTTATTCTTCAAAAATTTTCAGTTGCTAATAAATTGAAAATTTTTATATAATTATTACAGGTTATTTGAAGGGGCTTTCAAGTTGAAAATGATAGAGTTTAGTTTATGACAAATATAACCACAGTTAATGCATTTTATACTATTTCAGACACACGTTAAGGCAGCAACAGGTGAGGAGGTGCCGCACACGATTCTGGTCACTTCACGGCAGCAGTATGGGTTACCTGATGATGCTATTGTTTTTTGCAACTTCAATCAACTGTATAAGATTGATCCACCAACGCTATCAATGTGGTGTGATATTCTAAAATTGGTGTAGTTTTTGTTTTCATGTGATTTTATTCCATTTTCTTATCTGTTTATAATTGTTAATCTTGATAATTTTTGCCGCATATTGATTAACTTGTCATTACTTTGAAATCAGTAGGTTATTACTTTGTCACCAATGTAATAGTATACTTTTACGCATATCCGTTCGTCTAGGTGCCGAATAGTATTTTGTGGTTGCTTCGATTTCCTTATCATGGAGAGTCCAATGTAATGCGATTTTGTGCTGAGCGTGGCATTGACACTCGTCGAATCGTTTTTTCTAATGTAGCTGCTAAAGAAGAGCATGTAAGGCGTGGGCAGCTTGCAGATGTTTGCTTAGATACTCCACTTTGTAATGGGCATACGACTGGGATGGATATTTTGTGGACAGGAACGCCAATGATCACGATGCCTTGTAAGTTATCTTTTTATTCATCATTTTGACGGTACACATTGTTTCTTTGGTTAAACTTATGGATTATGCGAGGTAATTCTTGTAAAATAATGCTGACTGTATAAGAAAAAGCAGATTTGGTATTAGGTCGAACTTGCTTATTTAAAATTGTGGCTGATAATAGTACATAGTATGGAATTATGTTCGTTTGTTTTTTTAATGTAGCTTGTATTTGTAGTAGAGACGTTAGCGTCTCGTGTGGCTTCAAGCCAGTTATATGCACTTGGCGTACCGGAATTAGTTGCAAAGGACAGAGAAGATTACATCAAAATCGCAAAAAGATTAGGCACCGATAGAGAATAGTGAGTTTTAGAATTTGTTTAAAAAAAATAGGTATATTTGTATTTTCTCCTTTTTTTGTAACAGTTATGGATTTGGATTGATCATAAATTATTTCCCACTAATCGAAGTCCATGATATTCCAAACTCAAGATTTTAATGAGTAATTTTATTTTTTGAAAATGTTTTCTCTCTATGATAGATTGTGAGGTTTGCTTTGTTTAATGTTAGATTTGCTGGAAATCTGATAATGTCAATTTTTTTTTTCTAAAAAAAAATTTTAATAATCGAATAGTTAGGGAAAACGTTGTTTTTGTAGCAGAAATTTCCTTATGTTGTTACTTCCTTAAAAAGCAACTTCTTAACATTATACTGCTTTCTCATCAACCTTATAAAGCTTTATCTGATATTTTTCTAAATTTCATCTTGTTTTTGATATTATTAAGCACTAATTTTTAGTTTGAGTCAAATTCGAGCAAAAGTTTGGAAGGCTCGAACGACATCAACGTTATTTAACGTTAGGCAATACTGCTCCGACATGGAGCGTTTACTGCATAGAATGTGGAAACGCTATGCGGATGGTTTGCAACCAGATCATATATTGTCTGATCGTGATGGGAGAGATCTACTTGATCGTGTAAGCTAGAATCGTGTCTTTCAAAGATAATCATTTACATTTGATCAAGTCCATAATGAAAGGAACTAAAATGTTGACATCGTATATAAAACATAGTATCGCGTATAAGTTGGCAGTGTAATGGGAATGATGGTTTGTTATTGATTTATCTTTGCTGTCACTTGTTATCGTTCTGCGTTGAGTCATTTTTTATTCTGTGCCAACTTATATTGGCTATCAATTCATGCACTCATCTTTCAATGAAAAAAATAGTGATAATTGTTGTTGTATACTTATTTTATTCACTATCTGACGAACAGATTTATTTGCTTATAGTTACTGATTGTTGGACGTAGTTTTGGTAAGGCAGCAAAAGTATTTGGATTATTGGACTCAAAAAGTTATTTTCATTTCAACTTACCATCCTTAATTACGAGTATTAGTTCAGTTTTGATTTAAATATATGTGTATTTATGATTTTATATTGTTCACAACTGGATGAATGTGTTTCGGAAAAGTTGTCAAGTTGGAAATATATAAACATCCAGTTTCCAGAATGTAAAGACGGTCTATTGTCATCAAATTCTGACATATTTTTTATTTCATGGCGAGAATCTGTCTAGCAATTAAGTGATAGAATTAAAATGGGAGTATGTGTTGTTTAGCTTCTGTTTCTATTGAGATTTCAAATTGTTTCTGGACTTGAATGTCGGCATTTTATGCATGGGGAGGTAGAGCATAAGTATAGTATTGGAGTATAGGTGGTTACTATGTGCATAATTGGTTCAGGTTGGATCCATTATCAAGTTTTTAATGTAGATGTGTTTTAACTGCATTATCCGTATTCTCCGTTCGTTTTGTCTTTATTGAATTCATTTGGTACGATTATTTTTGATATGAATATGCTTGGTGATGTGTTGATGTATCTCGTATAGTGATTGAACTAATCTGCATTACTTATTTTAGTTATTCAAGAATGAATTTGCTTTTACGACAACCTTGAGAGTAAGGTGAGTATCGCTATTCATGATGTCTCATAGTCTTGATATATCTGTTTTCATCTGTTGCTGGTGATGCATTTTATACTTACTAAAATTTGTTTATTTTTTCTTTTCCTATTCTGTCGTTTCTGTGCATTGTTTCATTTATTTTTCATAATGATGTTTGCCAGTTTAATTCTTTTTTGAAAATGCGTTTTGGGTCAAGAAATGCCTCATGAGCTTCATTAAACTATCTCAAAAGATTCATTTGTTTTGGGAAAAATTTTTCAGAGAAGCAAAAATCTACAGACATTGTTGCTGTCGAATTTTGATGATATTATCTTGCTGTACTGGACGTGCTTGAAAACTGTCGTTGATTTTAGTGAATGAAAAGTAGGGGAAGGAGGAGTGCACAATATGGTTATTGAAAAAAATGTCAATGAACTGCATGGAGTGAGGACATGGGAAGAATATAGTCTGGAAGCGTACTTATGCATGGTTCCATGCAGTACGTCGTTGCAAATGAGAACGTGGAGGTCAGAGTCGGTGTGTCAGAACTATTGTAAAGAAAGTGCATATCAGTCGGATATCATAATCCATGGTAGGCAGCAACATGAACCAATCCTGGTAGAAGTTGGCATTACCAATTCAGTACAGACTGACAGGGGTTTACCGAGCGAAAACTCTAATTAATTGGAGTCAGAATGAAATGCAGGACCGAAGTAATTTCGCATATGATATATATTGGATCGACAGCTTTCAAGAAAATGGTCGAAAACATCACATTCGGTCACAGGTATGAACTCATAACGGTGAACAAAATAGATCACTAGAAGAAATCTAGATAAGGAATGATTACAATTGGAATACCGGAAATTTATAAGGAGGAAATGGTATAAATCAAATTGGTTTGGTAGTAATTGGTATAGAAACAACATTGCTTTCATACCAGTTTTGTTTTAATGACAATAATAAGTAAGCAAGTGAATGATAGGAATTATCAACAGCAGAAAGAGTAATCAGAAGGGAAAA